GAACCAAATAAGGTTTTTGGCACATTTTGGTTTACTTTATTAATTAAAGTTAAATGTAAAATTAAAAATGTCTTAAATTAATAAAAAAAAAGTTCAATTTTTACATGACCTTGTTGAACGCACAGTAACGGTTGTTTTGTTGTCGTTGTGGGTTTTGTAATATGATTGGAAGTAATAAAGTAACAGTTCTAAGCCGGATATACCACATAATCCAGCATTTCCCTTTTCTTATTCTGAATGCTTGCGGACAACAGTTCACAATAGCCGTGAGTAAATACAATTTTTAATTGGAGAGTTAATTTGCTGAGGTTATAATTGTATATATTACAATAAATAATAAAATAAATTAAAATATATACGAAAAAACAAATAGTTTTGGTATTTCTGTGCAAAGCTCAGACAGCAAGTGCAATATAGACATTATTATTATATTTTTAAATAATCAAATGGTATGGCCACATTAAGTTGTCAATTGGAAATGTCATACCACACTGCGTCGAAGCGCAACAATCGCGAAATTGCGAAATTGCAAAATTTAAGTTTGCAAAGTTCCGCCAAATTTTAAACAATTTACATTGCTAATATAATTGAATAACACAAATTATTTCTATAATATGAGCGAGGAAGTAAATGCTGAAGACGTTCTGCGCATATTGGTGGCAACTGACAATCACTTAGGCTATGCAGAGAAAAATGCGGTGCGCGGTAAGTATTTCGATTTTGAATAGTCGCGTATTTAAAAAAAGCTGGGACTACATTGGCTACCCTTAGGAGACGATAGCTTTGTAACTTTTGAAGAAATACTTCAAATGGCTGTGCAGGAAGATGTTGATTTTATTTTACTCGGAGGCGATTTATTTCATGATGCAGTTCCCAGCCAAAACACACTGAACAAGTAAGTTATAAGCCGTTTAATGAATATTTGCAGATTAATTAAATTTTTTTTGTTGCATAGCTGCATGAAATTACTACGGCGCTACACATTTGGTGACAAACCGATTGGCATTGAAATGCTTAGTGATCAGGCGGTGAATTTCCACAACGCCATCAATGAGACTGTCAACTATGAGGATCCAAATCTTAATGTAGCTATACCTGTGTTTTCCATACATGGCAACCATGATGATCCCAGCGGTTTTGGACAACTTAGCTCGCTTGATTTACTCTCGACAAGTGGATTAATAAATTATTTTGGACGTTGGACTGATCTCACAAAAGTAACTATTAATCCTTTACTAATGCGCAAAGGTGAAACACAATTAGCATTGTATGGACTGAGTCATATACACGATGCACGTTTGCGACGACTATTTGAGGATTTTAAAGTCAATATTGCGTGTCCGGGTCCCGAGGAAGGTGAATGGTTTCATTTGATGGTTTTGCATCAGAATCATGCTGATCGCGGTCCAAAAAGTAATATTCCAGAAGAAATCCTACCTGAGTTTTTGCATTTAGTTATTTGGGGTCACGAACACGATTGCCATATAAATCCTAATTTTAATGCGACACGAAACTTTTTTGTTAGCCAACCTGGTTCATCTGTTGCCACTTCGCTAGCTGAGGGCGAGGCGCTCAAGAAATATGTGGGTTTGTTGGAAATACATAAAACGCGTTTCCAAATGAATCCGTTACCATTACAAACCATACGCCCATTTATTTTCGATTCGGTCGATTTGTCTCAAATGACGGAAGAACTAAAGCTGGATGAAGGAGATGTACAAAATAAAGTTATAGCTATGGCAAAGGAGCGCGTTGAAAATATGATAATAAAGGCAAAGGAGCAATTCACCGGACATCCAAAACAACCCCAATTACCGCTTATACGTCTGCGAATCATCTTTTCAAATGAGGAGCAAATGTTTAATGCGATACGCTTCGGTCAGTCGTACAATGAGCAGGTAATATGTGCAAGTTATAAAACAAAATTAAATAAAATAAATTGAAATAACCTCCGACAATCGTAGGTAGCCAATCCAGCAGATATGATACATTTTAAAAAAGTAGTAAGGCGTGCCAAGGGCGAGTATTCGGAATATGACAATGACGCTTTGCGTTGTGCCTTAGATAACATTCAAGTGGTAAGTTGGCTTTGAAATGTGTTAGTATATAGAACTGTATACAGTTTGATCTCTAGGATGTGGACAGTGAAATGAAAATCGAGAATTTCATTGAGCGATATTTTCAAGAAATTCCAGCCAAACGCCGGTTAAAAATTCTATCGCCACAAATCTTGGCAGAAATGTGCAATCGTATTGTGGAGAAGGGAGATGTAACCGCAGCTGAGGGTATTATAAAGTACTTATTTGCGCAGCCTTTTACTTCTCATAGATTTTTTACATCATTTAATTGTTTTTGCACTAAAGACACTGCAAAGAAAAAGCGTTGGAGCACCTATTGGAGACCCTACCAGCTGATGACAAAATCGAAGAAACGTTAGAGGCATTCAATACAAAACTATCTCTCGACGATGTACTAAAAAGTCTGGATAAAACTAGCTCAAAAGTCAAAGCAAATACAAGTAGCTTGTCCTCAACCTCAACACTTAGCAAGAGCAGACAATCAACACAAGTTAGAAATATGTCTACTGCATTAAACACTAATAACAGCGACAGTGATGTTGAACCACTCGCAAAGAAAGCGCCTAAACAACAATCAAAAACAACGAAGAACCTTTACTTGGACGACAGTGACGATAGCGATATGGAAGTTGCGCCTCAGCCTACTAAAGGTACAAAAGCAGCGCGTGGAAGAAAAACTACGAAAGTTGAGACTAACACAAAAACACCTGCTGGCCGGGGGCGTGGTAGAGGACGTGGGCGAGGCGCTGCGGCTGCGCCAACACGCTCTACACGTCAAGCCTTGGATGTATCGATAAATTCAACGGTAAGTCAATCTCTTCTGTTTTTATAATGAAAATGAAAACTGAATACTTTGTGTTAATTGCAGCGTTCTTCTCTATTGGACTCATTGGCGAATGCGCGTGCAAAGCGTGGCACTAAGGGTACACAAGTCATCGATATATCCGACTCGGAGTAATTGTTTTTTTTTTTCTTATTCAAATTGTGACATATTTAAGCTTTACACTATTGCTCTGGTGTTTTGTTCTTTTCCTTGAAGTCTCCACCCAAAGAACCACTGCAAGTTGTTGCTTTTTACCGCTCAAAAATGATTTTCTTTTCTACTTTTATATTTCAAATAAACTATTAGGACATTATTTAATAAAGTTGCTATAATTTCTCTCATTTTAAGTAATATTTTATGAATTTTTTTTTTTTTGCTTTTTAAATATTTACCAATAACATTAGTGGCTATTTTATGATGTTCTAAGCTGTGTAATAAGTTGTGTAATAAGTTTGAAACTTTGAAAAATATGTACAGTAAGTACTAAACGAATGGAAATGTGTGTGCAAATATCGTGGAGCGTTTACACTGTCTGGTGCTCTAATGGCCTTGAAAATATACTTATATTCCTCATAGCATGTTACTTCATTCAGTTGTATAAATCCCATAAAGAAACTTGCCCATCAGTGCCTGCGGACGCCATAATTCGCGCATTCCACATCGACACTTTCCCTTCTGAATATGCAATATCCATAATGCCGCCCCCGCCGGATGTTTTATGTTCAGTCAACACCGCAAGCGGACGCAAGCTCTTCCAAGAGAAGATTCGCACACGACCATCCCAACCACCGGTCGCAAATACTTTCTGATCATCTCGTATGCGTATACAGTTAATGCCGGCATTTTTTATGGCGATATCGTTGGCTCTTTGCAATTGCATCGATTGTCGTTGATACGTAATGGCGGTGAGTTTTTCATCTGCGATTTTAAATTACAAAATGCGAAAATTATTTTGTCAGTGAATAAACGTAGTTTTCTAAAATTAAGCTCACTTGGTCCTCCAACAATGCCCCGATTGGTTTGTGGATCGTAATCGATTGCCATTGGTTCAGCATCCAACTGTAACAAATCTATAATAACGCCTGAACTTAAGTCCCATGTCAGAAAGTGACCGGATTCATAGCCGGCGAGAAGAAATAGCTGTGAAGCACTTTCAAATGGTTTGAAACAAGATACGCTCCCCAATTTCGGCAATTGTGGATCGTCTGGCACAAGCATTTGTGATGGCGCAGCAACATCGTCATTTACGTGCAGCACACCAATCGAATTTTCATCGCAAGGATAGAAGAGTAGCGGTTCACCGCTACCCTCAGGCGGTGTATACAACGCAGTACGACAGAATGCAGTGAAATTTCCTTCGATGGTGCGCTCACGAACATATCCACTGTTCGACATTGTCCACAAAGTAACTGTGCCACCTTTTTCCTGCGTAATCAGCGTGTCGTCGGTGTGGTGAAGACTAGTTATTGGTTTTTGGCCAACCTCAAAATGCAATGCGGAACGATTTGTCTGTAATTGCACATATTTTAGGTTATTTCTAAACTCTTTAGTATTTGTTTAATTATTGGGTACACCTGCAAATCCCACAAGAAAACGCTACCCTTAAGTGTGCCGGCCAACAAACGATCGCAGTGATGAAAGCAAATGGAATTCACCGGTCCCATCTCTGGGCAGCGCAGTGTAAAAACTGGATCAGGCGGCAAAACGGCCATGGCGTTACAAACAATTTGCCTTTAAATGAGTATGGAAATAAATTAAATGATGCACTTTTGCAGTTGACACATTTAGCAATTATATTTGTGTTATCACAATTATGTTAAACGCAATTCAATTTGCTTGAAAAAGTTAGCATTAATATTAAAATATTAAAAACACGCCCAGCTGGCAAACGACAGAAAAACAACAGCAATTTGTCAACGAAACCGCCTGAAAGAATGAGAGATGGCGTAATTAAATAAAAATAGAAAGTGAACACAAAGCATAATCTCAACAAAAACAAATGAGAGCGGTAATTGGCAATTTAATTTTTCACTGGGCTGGCAACACTCTAGTGGAATTGGTGGCTTTTTTTTTGACAATATAACGGAATTTGTGGAGTTTGACGGAAATGGCAGAACGAAAGTAACGTTATTTGCGTTAGCTTTCAAAATGACATTTTTGCAAGAAAAGTGATTTGGAATTGAAAATGTAAAATATATTTTGTGCAGTTTTATTTCGTATAATATTAATTTGAGATGTGAAAATTATTTTTGTGAGCATGCTATGTGAATTTAGTGTGGTGAACTTTAATCATGTGCTAATGTGTTTACGAAGGAAGAGAGAGGAAGCTGTTGGCGGTCATAATACGGCTTCCCGGCCTTCCTAGTGCTTGTAAAACGTTGCAAAGCGTGATGTTTTTTTATTTTTTTATGAAAGATTGATTTCGCTTCCAATTTTTTAATACATCATTTGAACGTGTGCAAAGATACTATATAAAATGTGAAGTTAAGGAATTTTGGACATACCGTCTTTGAATAAGAGTTTCTGTGCTTGGATGAAAGCAAAGCATTAATTAATCGAAATTAATTAACATATAAGAGATATTGGATTTTCGGGCACAATTTATGAAATTATTTGGGCAAAATGATGAATATATTAAGAATAAGTGATTAGTTTCTAACATTTAGTGAGCGCAGTCCCTTCAAAAAAATAGAGTAAGCAAGTAATCGCATAATACTATCAATATGCTTGATATCTTTATTTATCTGATAAACTGTGCTTACAATAAAGGGGGTTGTTTGGGGCAACGGACCCTAGAGGAACATCTCAGGTCTTGGAACACAAGCAAAATAGGGCATACCACAAGGTTACTTTGGGGTAGTGTTGATGGTGGACAGACCAAAAAGCACCTACTTCTAGGCTAAATGGAGGCTAGCAACATTGTAGGGGTCATATTAGGACACCTAACTTTAAGATCCCATCTTCAAAAAATGTGAACGGTGTACTCGACGGATGGAGAGCATGCGCGGAGGATGATAAGACGCTGTAACATTATCTTTGCGAATGCACAGCCTTCAGTCGGATGAGAAGGGACATATTCCACGGCTCCCAATACTCCAATTTAAGAGAAATCGGGATGCTGGGGGAGAAAATAATCAAGTATTTTACCGAATCTACGAAGTTGCTGGATGAGGCTTAAATAGGGAGCACAATGGGTCTAATGATGGCCTCCTTGCGGCCACCTATGGTCCTGCGCTCAGGTGCCTCCCTTTTCAACCAACCACTATAAATCTACCATTGGTGTAAACTAAAGCCTCTAGGGAGAAAGAATTATCGCCTCCGCACCACCACCTAGTTACGAAAAAAAACTTTATTCAACAAATTTTGCCACATGTGCATACATTTTGAGAAGTCCAAAAATTCTACTAATTACTAATATCCACGATTTCGTTTGAATAGCGATCGACAAACTTCTTATAAGATGAAAAATAGCTGTCGAAAACTTAAAGGACTTAAGAAATTCATAGAAAAACCTGTGCTGCAGCATAATATAAGAAATATATTCATAGCACATTAGTTCTGATTGTGTGTGTTTAAGTGCCTCGTTTGATTTTGTGGCAGATAGCACATAATTTATGACTTCATTAGGTTAACAAGCAAATATGTTAATCTCTTTTGCACCTTTTTGCCACATTTTTGCGCTACCTACTACACATCTGAAAAGAGTATTTTTTTTATATGTGAAGCTGCCCGAAAGCAGTTGACCCATTTCAAACGGCTTAATAATGTTGAGTGACCGGTTAGGAAATTACGCTTAAAATTGACTAACAGTCTAAATATGTGATCACATATCAACGAAATTAATAAAAAACGGGTATACATATGTAACATACTGCAAAAGTCAAAAGGTGTGAAAATGCGTGTTGAAGTTGAAGAATTTACTTACAAATTTGCAATAATATTCTTTTAGCACATATTTTTGTACTTAGTATATTAAAATTTGTATAAAACCGCAGCGTATTTCTATTTTGAATTTCACCTCCTGCGACCTTTTATAACTTTCGAGTATAGCATATTTTGTTTTGTTTTAGAATCCAATTAGTATTTGTTCAGAATAATGATGCAGCGGCAGTACGGAGGTATACAGTCTCCTTTCATGCTAAAAAAGTCCATTTTGCTGGCTTAAGTGCAACAACATCAATCACATATAATGTTGTCATCGCCTTCTTAGAAACACTTCTACCTAAAATCCCGTGTTCAAGTTGTCTATACTGCGTTTTACGCGTTCACTATTAAATCGCTTTTAATTTCCATTTAATCGAATTATTTGCTTGATTGCTTTATTGTCGCCTTGCAAGCAACGCAACGACACCTACTCGTATGTTTGCATATGTGTGACGTACTATTGAAGTGCCGGTGCGGTATCCGCTTATTTGCTACTGCATGTTGCATGCAACCAAAGCGTTATGCAGTCGCTTTAGTTTTGTTGTCAACAGTCACACTTGCAGTTAATCGAATTTTGTCGCCTTTGCCCACCGTTTGTAGAACACGCTTGCTTGGCGATATATCGATATATATTGTATATACATATATATATATGTATGTATGTATGTGCGTGTATGTATATGTTGACGTCTATTGACTAGACACACATTTAATTTGATTATTTGGTACAACATGTTGCCAATTTGTCGTACATGTTGCTGTCGCTGGCGGCAAGCTAACGGAAAAAAAATGTTTGTAATAAAGTGTAATTGAAATAAATTGATTGAATATGTACCCTGTAGGCCAAGAGAATACGAAATAAATATTTTATAAATGACGAAAGGCGGGAATGAGAAAGACGCTGAGTTGGATTTGCTAACGAAATGCTTTTTGAATTTTAGAATCCTACAAACTCTCAACGGCATCCTCACAGCATGTTACCGAGGCTATCTATCGGTACTTTCTGAACGATGCTTCTTAAAAAAAGATTTCACTACACTTATTTTTCAACTGATTTATATTATTCAGATTAAATTCTACATTTCATGCTCACACCTGCCACTAATATAACGGAAGACAGCGTTGTTGCCATGCTAACCTTAAATTATTTGTGACCAATGATTCAAAAGAACACTCCATGCTTGCCACAACCGAGCTGGGTTACTTTGAAAATTACTTGCAATAAATTACGGCACATAAAATTTAGCACTCCACTGCTACTTCCTTTCACTTCACGCTTGACACTTGTTTCACGCCTAATTGACGTTGATGTCAAAAGTGATTGCAGCCGCAAGCTAACCTCACATTTAATATGCCATTATTGGCAACAAAATTGTAAATCAACGTAGTAGCGGGCGACAAGTGTCAGTGCAATTCCAACAAAATTAGTGGCAACACCAATAATTCAGCGTGCACGCAAATTGTTGCTGCCACTTGTTGTCAACCATTGTTGCTGCCTTCGCAACTGCTCACAGCTACTTTAACGCTGCATTCCTGTAAATTTGCAAATGAGTTGCATTAAAGTGGCTTTTAAGGGCCCACTTAACCATAAATGATTTACAACATTAATTCACGCAATTACGGCGGCATGATTCCTGTTATTGTTGCTGTTGCCTTTGTCGAAGACGAACACAGAAAATATGGCTTAAAGTGCAGGCAGTGAGAAAAAGGCTGACATCATTTGCATTGCAGCGCTGGCGCATGCAAAATTTGCAAATTTGCCAATCAAAGTGAACAAAGCATGTATTCGTATGATATACTTACACACACACACACACACACACACACACACACATTTGCATGTACAACACTACAAATTGGTTGCCTCCCCCCCAGCCGCTCTGCCAATCCATACACTTCTCGCTTTCATCCCGTGCTACGCCATTGTCTCGACTGGCTGCTGTGCTGTTCACTTGTCAACGCCAACACAGCGCAATTGTTGCCTCTGATCAAGCACCTAGCCGCTTAAGCGTCCGATTGCCTGCACTGTGTGCTCATCACATCACTGACCAGTGCTGCGCCGCTTGCGTTTCGCACAATGACAATCGGCTTTGACAGCTCAATGGAGCTGAAGTTATTGTGTAGCCAAAAATTAAGTCAAGTATCATCATGGCGCACGACCGCTAACAACAACAACACAGGCATCTTTGGCGTCACTATCAGGTGCTTGAGCGCGTTTGCATGTTTGTTTGTGTGTGGAGCTGCGGGTGCGTTTGTTAACCAGTCAAGCATGTACCGCTGATGTTCACTTTTTGTTACTAAATATTGTGTAGCGTCCGTTCAAATATTTGTGCATATGGGTATTTGTTGTTGCTATTGTAATGGGTCTTTAGTTTCACGGCTACGAGCTGTCAGACCATGCTTTGGGTTGACAAATTTTGTGCGTGGCACAACTCCAACATTCTCCCTTCTCTCGCTCCCTTCTTCAGCAAGCTGTCTGCCGCTCTGCTTATGGCATTTGAGCTATTTTCAACGTTTATTAGTCTAACTAAAATTGTTTTGACACTTCTGTTTTAGCGCGCAGTGCATGTTTGTGCATTATGAAGCATCAATTTTGCTGGAAAGTGTTTAAAAGCATGTGAATTTGACACTTCCAAACCGCCTGTCAGCTGTCAGTGGAAGAATGTGTCATTGATATGCTTAGGATTACGTGAAATGGAATGGGCTCATCTGATTAATACTGGCGTGCAGTGATTGGCGTGCTAAGTACTGACCGTGATACAGACCGTGCTACATAAAATACTTAAAGAATGAAGATACATACAAAAAAGCTCGTATATTCTGCGAAATTTTAAGTTTGAACATATTTTTTCATTAGAATTGTGACACTTTAGGGTATAATTCCCACGGCGAGCACACGTCCATAGATTGTCTCTCGCAGCACATATCCATTTCTACAGAGGCTTAGCGAATAATTTATTGCCAAGGCTGAAGAACTTAATAAAAAGTATATAATAAATTTCACCTTAGAAGAGTAGCGAAGCCAACAGACAGTTGTTCACCTATAGAAGCGTCAAGGGTATTGTATAGCGGTCAAAGCCAACAAACTTTGCAACATTTTTAATTCAAAAGTGTTATTGTAATTCAACAAAATTTGCGGTATTTTCAGCGTAGCTAGAATAGAAAAAAAAAGAAAAAATGTTAACTTCGACTGCACCGAAAGTATAATACCCTTCTAAGCTGGATTTTTAGGATCAAAAGTGTATAAAAGTGTATAAAATAACTTTACGCTGAATTGTATCGCTCAGTTTGTATGACAGCTATATGCTATAGTGGTCCGATCTGAACAATTTCTTCGAAAATTGTACCGTTGCCTTGGATAATAAGCCATGCCAAATTTGGTGAAGATATCTCATCAAATGAAAAAGTTTTCCATATAAGCACTTGCTTGCGATCGTTCAGTTTGTATGACAGCTACATGCTTCAGTGGTCCAATAACCGCGGTTACGACAACTGAGCAGCCTCTTGGAAAGAAAAGTATGTGTGTGAAATTTCAGTTGGTTATCTCAAACGCTGAGGAACTAGTTGGCGTTTATACAGAACGAGAGACGTAATTGGTCAAATGGACTCAGCTCGTCACGCTGATCATTTATATGTAGCTATACTTTATAGAGTCGCCAATGTCTCCTTCTGGGTGTTAGAAACTTCGTGGCAAACGTAATATATCCTATTCAGCTTGTATAGTCATAGCTAGTTCGCTTGAAATCAATACATTTATCTTTAAAAATGT